AATAAGAATGCATCTCAGAATGTTCATTTATTGTTCATAACATAGGAAACACGTGTGGATGGTGAATGCCACAGTTCAAGCTCTTTCAGTTTTTTAGAAGTCATCCAGGACATAAACTGCATGTTCTGTAAGTTATACACAAACTTGATGACACCAGCACACAGCATGGAGACCCTTACAGTAAATCAATTTGATTATCAGAGACACTTAAGATATAACTGCTGGTCTTTTTCCCATCTTTGGTCTTACGAAATCCTAGAGTCAGCAAAGACATCAGAGAGGACTGCAAGTGACTGCAAATCTGCCCAACTGAGGAACTGACATTTTGGGTAGTAAAGAGGCATTTGAATGGAGGAAAGGCAAGAAAACAGGGCTAAATCAATAAATATAAAGAGTAAAAAGCTTTTATCCTGAAGTATACTCACCTCTAATAAGACCTTCAACTTAATGCTAGCCACTCTGACTCCCTGTTCAATAGTACTTACCAGCTGGTGGCAATTCTGAGGACAGAATGGGGAAAGATGGCACTGGCAGACAGGTCATACTGCATGTCTCTTTGAACAACCCCTCCAGACCTTCAGATCTTTTAAACTGAAAATAAGGAGCAATAGAATACATTTTAGTGATAGAGAGGAAGAAAAGGCAGTTTCAAATGTCTAAGGATGTGGAGTGAGGAACTGCTCGCCCAGGTAGGAAGTGAATACAATCCTTCCACATCCCACACACTGGGCTAAAGAATCACTCTTATTTTCTTTACCCTTAGTCTAATGAACAGTGTTCATTCCTAATGTGGGAGTAAAAAAGGAATTTTTCAGAAAAGGAAGAAAAGAGTCTGAGCCCTTGGAGACTGAGCAGCCTGGTGACAAGTGTCCTAGTGGAACAGAAAAGCTGTCCTCAAGGCCCAGCTTGAAATTAGTTAGAAAACAGCATTGAAAAGAGCAATTGCAACTCTCTGGTGACAGTCCTGCTCATCTCCTGATACACAATAAGAGCTTTAAAACCCATGTCTGCTACTGACATCACTACCAGACCTGCCCTTTGTTCTCTCCATCCCCTCAGGTACTGAAGGATCTCTCACAGGGCAGCAACCATGTACTACTTCAGGGCATGCCAGAAGCATTTCAGCCTTGACAGGACCAAGCATTTTTGCTTGTATCTCACACTGAAGCCCAGGCAGGATCCACGGACCCACTGCTCTCTGCTAAGGGGCTTACTCCACTAGATGTCAAGCTATTTGGTGTAGATTTCAAAATACAGTGCCAGCTACCATTTTCTTCTAAAACAATGACTGGGGGAAGAGGAATAACTCTCTGGGTACTCTCAAATCTGTGTTTAAGTCTTGCGCAGCTTAAGTCCCTGAATTCCCCTGGGGCTTCAGACTTCATGCACCTGGGACTGCAGCCCATGTCTCCCAGCAGTGGAGTACTGAAGTATCCTAATTGCCAGACTGGACTTACACTGACACAGAATTCATTCAGGACTAAGAAAGAAGAATCACAAAAGGGAAGATTACTCTCTAACCCTTTCTACTGAGTGCTATCTAATGTCTACAACGTATATAACCAGGCCTTAAACTGAAGGCTGGAAATCCTTCCTCCAATACAAGCATTATGGGAGAAAACTCATGCCCTTGCCAGAAGCAGTGTGAGAGGTGGAGGATATTTCCTTCTTTCAGTACTCCCTTCCTAATTAGTCCCTAGCCCAACATTTGCACTGCTTGATCATAAAGGGACTGTAAACAACTCCCTGAAGCAAAAAGTGAATAAGGATCCTGCTTTTGAAAAAAAAAAAAATAAGTCCTTTAATGATGAATTTAATTGTATAACTGTAATAACACTGCTGGTTTACTAAAAAAAGACTTCTTTTTGAAGATACTAGAGGTATTATTGTATTTGTGGGGGCTTTCAAGAGCACAAGCAAAACACTGTTATTAAAAGAACTCCTCAAGGTCCATCAGTCTGTCTGGCACTGCACAAGACATGAAAACAAAAACTGAAAAGCTTTCACTCTAATAGATATTTTGGTACAGGGGCAGGGAAACACAGGCAAGATCCTGATGGTTTTGGAAGAAGGAGACAGCTATCAGCAATTCTCTGCAATAAAAGTCTCTACTGGTGATGCCAACAACCTCAAATTTGTACAGATTACCATGAGAAAGGTTTCATGTTCTAATTAATGTACTGTCAGCTTCACACAGGTTGTGCCCACTTTTGATCAACAAAGATTTTGGATAGATCCTGCTTTCACATCAGTACTATTTTATAGAAGAAAGTTAATTCCTGGTTGTTCCCACACAAATTAGATTTAAAAAAAAATATAATAATTCCTTGTAATTCAGTATGTAAAAAATGAGATTTTGTTACATATTGTTACATACTGAATTACATTTCTGTTATGAAATAGCACAATGAATTAGATTGCATTATGCCATTGCAGACTTGTCAGCATTCAGAGGGAATGAAGAATTGCTGGGCTTACAACCAGCTGTTTCTAGACTTACAAGGATCCTGTGGTTCTGAACTCCTTTCAGACCGTTCAATGCATCCCTTGATCATGATTTCTCTGCAAAGACTGCTTATTGGCAGATGGCTTCTGTCTGTAAGATAAGCATCTCATGTAGGATCATCACAACTCCCATCAATTTCTTGAGGATCTGGGCCCTGAGATCTCCAACATAAAAAGCAAATCCCAGTCAGCATTAATGAGAAAAATAAAACTGGAAAGCAAAATTTTTATTGCCTGAAGTATTAGACACTTCACTCTGATTTGGAACCTGCCTTCCCTGAAATAATTGTCACTATATCCAGATCTCATGGCTGGAATCTAAATAACTTGGCTATAAGCAATCCTATCACTTTGCATCTATCAGTGCTCCACACTTACTGAGGTCTGAACAATCTGCAATTAAAATTGTTAGCATTTTAAAACCAGTTTAATTTAAAGAAAGTGTGCAAAATATCCACAAATGGACAGCTACTCTCTATGCTATGACAGCCAATATTTTCATGCCATAAGTAGACCTAGGAAGAACAGGTTCAACATTTTCAATCTTGATAGCAGGGGAAGGAGACAAAAAAAGTTATCATCTTCCTCGGACTGTATTGGCAATGTGATCGACTTAAATTTCACCCATTATTTTGATACATTGAGACAACCAGAAAAGTTTAATGGTTTGGTCCAAATGAAGACAACAAGCTGCTTTAAACAAATGAATATTTCAATGGAGGTTCTGAAACCAATCAATGTTGAATCAATAACTTAGAGATTAAAATAACTTCACTGGTGTATCATCCAAATGCACAGAAATGGAACATAAAATAAGAATGATTCATTTTTATAGTAAGGTAGCACTCAAAAAGTCTTTGAAACCAATAGCGGTATCACCCACGGCTCACCAGGCTTCAATCTATTCAATCTATTCAATCACATTTTTAACAGATACCTTGTACTATACTAAAGTATTTTAATTTGCCTGTAGCATGATTTTTAAGACAAGAAGGAACCCTTGAGCATTATATGTAGCCACAAACCCTCATATTAAACATCACTTCACTATGTACCCCTAGAAGAAAAGTGTGATTTACAGCAGCTTTAATACACAAGCCCATTTGCTGAAAACTATTCCACAAACTGCATGTCTGGATGACAATAAATCCACAATCTCTGTTATTTGCTAAACTAGCCCCTGTTCAGTTTCAGTCTCTAAATATAGAGTACTCTAAATTATGGTGGAAATGTAGCGAGAAACTTCGCCGGAGGAGGTTAAAAACAGTGTGTAACTGAGAGAAGGCAGTTCTTAAGCTTTCAGCTGCAGCTTTGCTTCTTTCTGACCTGGTCACGCTTTCCCATTTGCAGCAGCTCTCCCGCAGATCCCGTGGTCAAGACAAGCCGGGTACCCGGCAACTAATTTTAGATAACCCCTTGTATAATTTGATAGACTTTTGTTCTCCTAAAAGCCCACCTTATTGCGGAGGTTCAGTGGGTTTTGATCACTTAATTAAGTGGAGGCTTATTTTCCGGAGCTAACACAACGCCTTTTAACTTTATCCGCCCCTTATGAACCCCCTGAGGTCCCATCTCCGCTTACGGGGAGTTTTGATGCCTTTAACGGCGACCGCATCCTCTGCTGCGCCCTCCCGAAAACCCGGCCTCCCCGGCGGCGACACCGGGCTGCCTGTCCCCAGCCGGGTCTCCGGGGACCTGCCGGGCTGGCTCGGGGCCGCTTTGCACCAGCGGAGCTGAGCCCACCCTGACCGGCTGGAGGGAGAAGGGGGAGCTCTACTCTCTCTTGGCGGGGGCAGCAGCGCGCTGAGGAGCGGAGCGAGGCGGGCACTGCCCCGCCCGGAGCAGCGGCCCCCGGGGGGCGAGGGGCGGAGCGGGGGCAGGCGGTGCTCTCCTCCCCCGGGGTACCTCCGGCTCCGACCCGCCGCCGCGGAAGCCCTTGGGAGCGCGTCGGGAGTCCGGGGCTGCGCGGCGCAGGGGTCGGCGAGGGCGGAGGCAGGAGGGGATAAAAACCCCGGCGCTGCTGTCACTGGGAGTCTCCTGCCTTCCCTCCTCGCCTACCGCCGGTATCGGGCTCCGGGCCTCCGCTCCATCCCTGGGGGCAGCGGGCCAGCTCTGCCTGCGCCCGCGGGGGAGGGCAGCAGAGCCGCCGCCGCGCTCTCGGCAGCCCCCAACTTCTCCCGGAGACAGCGGAGCATGCGGGCCCGGGGCTGGCGGCGGCGGCGGGGACGGCACCGCGCTGCCCGGACATGAAGCGGCCGCCTGGAACTCCAGGTAACGCTGCCCGGCGGGGTGGCGGAGCAGGCATCCCTCCAGTAGCCGGGGCATGGCTGGCGGGCAGAGTCCGGAAGAGCGGGAGGCGAGCGCAGCCTGGCAGCGGGCGGTGGAGACCCGGCTCCTACCTTCCTTGCGGAACGGAGCGGCTGTGGTCGAGCCTGCCCATGGAAGGCGGCCAGGGACCCCTCGGGGGTAGGTGGGTGAGGCGAGGGTACGACGCGGTGCTTGTGGGTGCCCCAGTGCGGCGGCTGCTCAGCCCGCCCGGCCGTCCCGCTCGACGAAACTTTGCCCTCCGCCGACCCCCGGTAGGGATCGGGGGGCTGCAGCGGGCAGCCCCTATCGGGAGGCTGGCAGGAGCCCTCTTCTCCTCCCTTCGTAGGCAAGGGGGTTTCTCTGAAGTTTAGCCTGTCAGAGAAGCTTTAGGAGGCGGTGAGGATCCTACGCTGGGCAACTAAACTTTCGTAAGATCTGGCATTGCTTGGAGACTGGTTACTGGTACTGTAACAGGCACTGCCACTTACCGTTGCGTTTTTTCTTAATTATTTTCTGATCTCCTTAGCAACTGAAGTAATTTGCAAGGTTTAAACTAGGGTGCAGCGTGATTTACAAAGGCACATGGCAAAAAAGGATGCATTTGTTGTTTTACTGGTGCCTATTTCCCTTGTACTCCCTCAAGAGAGGTAAGAGCTGCAGAGTGTTGACTTCATGTAGCTGATACTGCCGTAAACAGACTGCTGATGATTAGTCCAACTCAGGCTCCGTGGTACGTCACTCAGTTGCTCATCTTTGTCTCAGTTTTCTTCAAGTCAGGCGAGTTAGCTGTCTCTGGGGAAATTCAACCTTTAGTGAGGGATGAGTGGGAGAAGATAGTTTTAACAGACTAAGGTTGCTAGGACAAATTAACCTGTAATTGAGCACTATTGAGGTCTGGCCAGGTGCTGGCCAGAGACCCCTCCATTTGCCAGGTTGACCTCAGGATCAGCTTGCTGCAAAGGTAACCTAAAGTCTTTATTTTTTTCATCACTGTTGGGTCCTGCATCAAGCATGGTTTAGCCCATTTCAGGGATTTAGTCCAGTGTATCAAGACATCACCCAGATGTAGCTCACCAACAGCCTCTGGTGTCCAATCTGTCATGTTGCTAAATCTCATGGATTACGGTGGTTAGGATTAATCCAGATATGATAAATCAGAAATGCTGAGCACAGTTGTTAGGCAGATTTAATGCAGAGAGTGCCTTTCCCACTCAGAAATGATAAAAGCACACAAACACACACAAAGGAAATGGAAGTTTACGCAGGCCTTCCTTACAAATGTAGCATTTGAAAGATTAATTATGTAGAATGCCACTAGTCTGTTTGTAATTAATGGCTATGTTTTGTACTTAAGCAGGACTCCTAAAGTTAGGATTAAAAGCATGAATAATTGCACTTGTATAATATTGTTGTTAGAAATTAATAAAACCCCATTCTAAGTGCCACTTTTTCTTCTGAGCTCCTGAGGAAAGCCTTGTCAAATGCCATGGGGAAAAACCAAAAAGTGCTGTGAGGAAACACTGTTAACACCTGAGCCATCACTGGTTGATTGCATGTATCATTATATTTAACTTATATGGCCCTGATTCATCTGATATGTAGACTGGTAAGAAGAGGAGAGCAGCTGTGTGGCCAGTGAATGTCAATGGGAAGGTGCAAAGGTCTGTGAGTGACTTGTGGGCTGGCCAGGTAGGGAGACATTCAGAATCGGAACAGACACTCACAGGAGACGTGGCACAAGGAAAATAGGAGATGTGGAAATGGTGTGGACCTTCTGGAGGGTAGACTGAAATCTTTAATGTTTTTAGTGTTTGAGGTCTCTAGAGGCTCAACAGTTCCTGCAGTAGTACAGCAGGGTTGTGTGCAAATACTTGCATTTTCACTGTGCAGAAAGTGAGAGCCAAATGTGGGACTATTTATATCACCAGTGTACAGGAAGATGTTATTCCTACTGTAAAGCATTAATCAGTCCAGTTTGTTTAATGTTAGAAAAACTAACCATTTGCTAAGTGTTTGCACACAGGTTGCAACCAACCAAACAAACAAAAAAAAAAACCAACCAAGCAATAAAAAACTACAACCCCCACAACAAACACACACATTAGAAAGATCAAAACTAGGAGCCAAGTCCTCAACTTGTCTAAGAGTTGATCTGTTGTAGTCAATTGAGCTGTTTCTGACAGCAGAACATGTTCTTTATGATCTGAGGATATACCCTGCATTTCTTCTCTAACAGTTAAGCATGTACACCCTTACTGCATGGATGATTCATCTCGGGGTGTACTGTGTTTTTGGCAATGAACTTAAAATATCACACTTCAACACCACAAAGAAATGATTTCTTTGAAAAGAGTTCAAGTACAAAACTCCCAGCTGTGCCCTTCACTTTACTATAAATCAAAAAAGCTATTTACCCAGCCCATTCAGAAATAATGGTGAAGTACTTAGCCAGAGTCTGTTGGCACATGTTAGCTCATAGTATTTAATAGCAGTATCTCTCTTGAGAAATAATGTAATACTGAAATTTGTAAAGTAGTAGTACTTTTCTAAGACCTGAAGTAAGGGCACTGGGATGAAATGAAATGCCACTTTTTAATATAAGGCTGACTGTAGGCTTTGTTCTTCCTTGCCACTTAACATGTGCACATTACTAACTCAGAAATGTTTATGCAGTCATTTTGAATAAGTTCAAATGATCACATAGGTCATAAATACTTATGTTGAACATGCTTGGCTTTATAGGCCATCCTGTGTAATCTATGAAGGAGGTATGGGGAACACAGTTGAGGAGCAAGTTGCAACTCAACACTCCTACCCTCCAAAAGGGCAAAGAACCTGTTGGGAATGTAGGCACTGCACTGTGAGGTGGGCATGTCAAGGAAGGTTTCTGTTTGTCAGGGTACTCTCCAGATAGTCTTGTTTGTCCTGTGATATGTTTATGGTGTCTATAATTTGGATTTGCCTCACCAGGCAAGTTAAGTTATCTGAAACAGTTTTTATTTGGCAACGTCAGCGGGCCTTGGAAATGGACAACCCAGTTTTCAGCCCTTTCAAACTGGTTTTGCCCCTTAGAACTCAAAGGTATTATGCTGATTTACACCAGCCACTGATTTGCCCTTGGGATTTGGTTGCAGACTAGCTCAGAGTCTGTAGTGAGATAATGTAGGTATGGACAGAAGAAAATATGCAAGGCTGTTTAGTGTATTAAACTTGGTAACCCTTCTAAAACAGCATTGATCTAGTATGTCCCATTTGGAGTATCTCCAGGATGGCAGTTATATTCAACATAGGAACTGATTTTAAAAGTGCCATTTCAGAACTGCAAGTGCAGTTACATTAAAAGTTAGATTGCATACATTGCAGAATCAGGCATTTAAATATTAGTGGGAAAGGCAACCCAGGCAACCTGTGCAACAGCAGTTTGTTTCCTATTTTGTGGATGCTTTATAAAACCATGTGTGTGAAGACTGAATTATGGTATAAGGTTTTCCGGTACCTCGCTTCATGCAATATACTAACTGAATGAGCAGTTCTTAAATTCTTTTTTCATCTGGCAGTGTGTTTCCACTGTGTGTTATGTACTGCATGCCATACAAATCCACACTGAGGTACAGAATTATTTCCTGATGGTCATTTTTATAATGCTTCATAGGTCTTACCCTCTAGAAGAATTTATATCTATTAGCTGTTGCCATAGATTAGCTAGCTAGCAAAAGCAACCAAGTTAGGTGCTTAGCATTCTTCTGGGTTCCTAACTTCCCACTGAAAGCCCCACACAGATATATACTTCAGTAGGATCTAAAAGCCTAGAAGACTATAAATCTCGATGCTAAGCTTTCATTTGAAACAATTCATTTATCTTTACAATATTTGTATAGCTAAGGTCATGTTGTTTTATCCTTTTTATAGGCATGGAAGTAAGGAGAAGCCCTTCCAGTCAGAAGTACCAGCTAGAGTCATAGCATTTTTTACTCATCTCAGAACTTCAGATCAGTCCTTCCCAAACTTAATACACAGAGGTTCCTTATTTTCTAAGTGTCAAGCTGGTGACTGTCATATGTTTATTATTTTCTTGAAGGTACCAGTTCTCATAAGTTGTCTGATCTCATGAGAATGCTGAGGCAGAGGCTTGGGTATGCTCCAGTTCTTAGGTACAGGCATTTCCTGAGCTGTTGATGTAATCACATATTCTTTTCCCTGTTCTCCCTTAGAACCTGTGCACAGTGTGAGGAAAGGTTGTGGGGGAAAACAAATTGTGCAATTAAGGACTGTATAGAAAATCTAAAACAGCACAGAAAACCTTAATTCTAGCACTTGAATTTTTGAGCACTTCACTTTGCAGTCTTGCCATTCCCTTAATGTGAATGCAAACATTTAAAACCAATATGTATATAAATTCTTGTGAAAGGTGAGTTCTCGTATCCTGCTGCCTTCCTATTTCTTCTTTTAGTGGGTCATTAGAGGGTTCAGCTCTTCAGATTCATAGCACATCCTCTACCACTTGACTTAAAGAGTGGATTTGTCAACAGACAACAGCAGCCTGGCAGATTGGCAGAGGGTTAGAGGCGTGGAATTTGGAACTGAAGGAGAGTGGAAATTAGTGCATTTCACATATATTAATTAATTGCACATGTAATCTTAGATTCATAAGTAGCAGATGCAAATTCTCCAGAGGAGCGTATTCTAAGGTTCACCTCCTGAAACTCTTGCCTCTTCTGTTTAACCCTCTACTTGCCCTTAACACCATCCCCATGTGCTTTTCCAGTCTCGTATGCCTTAACTGACTTCTGCATGCTCAAACTACCTCCTCCTCAGCTGCTTCACTAGTAACAATGGCGATGCTCCATTAGCATCCTCCTCTCCTGGCTTTGCCCTTCCTTCCCTGTGTGTCTCTTATGCTCCTTTTTCCTCTCTCCCCTTCTTTGGCTTCTTTTCTGTCCTGTTGTCCTCCACACTCTAGGTCTTGATTTTAACGTTTTCATAGTCTAGACTCATCCTTTCTTCATCCATCTTGTCTCATCAGAGAATACAACTCCTCCTTTTATTCTGCTTCTTTCCACATGAGGTTGCTTCTTTTTCTTCCTTGGTGCTGCCCAGAGGCACTCTCCCAGCTTCTGGCCATAGCCACTCTGAGCAGTGCAGAGCAGTCATTGTGAGGTTGATCCTGCTCCTATACTCTACCAACAGCTGGGTGAGACTGGAGAAATAAGGCTGAGGTCAGTATGTGGGAGCTGAATACCTCATTCGAGCTGTGAAGGGTTGGGGATAATCAGTGCAGATGGATTCACCTGGGAATTTACTGACAAACTTAACAGGTATCCAGGGACAGCAAGAGTGAACAGAAATATTCATTACACTGCTAAGTATGTGTACATTTTCTTCACAGATGGCAAAAAGCGTATACTTTGGCACAGAATCACTACCCTGCCAAATGTTACATCCCTGCTTCAAACCATAGTGACACTAAAATGTTAATAGAAAATAACGTGGTTGGATTTGGTCTTACTATTTAAGTATGACCAAAATATTTTTTTCCTTTACTAAGTTTTGAGAAATGGCTGACTCATTCTTACTGAAAGTTCCAAAAACTTGTGCCTGAGGTAGGCACCAGGCATAGATTTCCTCCTCAACAGTTATGTTGGCAAAGGTAGAAGTAGCAGAATACAAAATATTCCAATTGGACATCTTGAATAAGTTTAAAAATAGGCTGCTGCTACCTGAACTATCAGTTACTGCATGGAAAAAAGAAAAAAAATAAAAGGGAATTTGTTTGACATTTAAAGCTAAGTAGTCTGAGAAAGTTCTTTGCTTTGTGACATTTTCTGATTGGGAAGAAACACATGTTGCAACTGCTCCCCACTAGACAAGAACACAGCATTTTTGGATGAGGCTTTTTCTGTCCTGTACCTGGAATTTTCTATCTGTGTTGGTTTGGAAACAGGTAGGGGATGCTGTTGCCCAGTTATGTTACACAGAGGAGCATTTCTGATTATTTTTTTTTCTGAACAATCAGAAATTGCATTTCTTGGTCCAAGACTGAAGAATAATTGCATTGATTTTGAAGAGAAAAAAATACTGTATCTGTAGGCTGAATATTTACACAAGTGCAGTATTTCATGTTTACTTAAAAACCAATGTTAAGCTTACATCACCTGCAAACAACTAGATTTTACAATTAACCATCTGGAACATTAAGGATTGATTGCCTGTATTTACAAAAGGCATGCATAAGAAATCAGGAAGGGTATGAATTGTAAATGTTAACATGCTGTACCTGTGTATCCCTCTTTTGACAGCAATTAGCACGAAGCTAACTGCACATACAATCTGTGGCAAGAAGCACTGGGAGACACCTAAGAGGCAATGACAATGTCTTTAACCTGGTGGACAATTCCTACTCAACTTGGAGTTTTTAAAGTGAACTGCAGAGGACTGGCATGCCTCTTGGTCTTCACAATGAGCGTTTGTGGCAGTGCCCCGGGGATGTGCCCAGCAGCCTGCATCTGTGCCAGTGATATCATAAGCTGCACCAATAAGAACCTCTCTCGAGTGCCAGGAAGTCTTTATAAATGTATGAAAAGGCTGGATCTGAGTTACAACAGAATTGGGTTTTTAGAGCCTGAATGGGTCCCAGCACTGTTTGAGAAACTGAACACTTTAATAATCAATCATAATAGCATTAGCAGCATTATCACTGGAAGCTTTTCCACAACCCCAAATCTGAAGTACCTAGACTTGTCTTCCAACAGCCTGAAGACGCTGAGCAGCCCCGTGTTTCAGGAGCTAAGGGTGCTGGAGGTTCTCCTGCTGTACAACAATCAGATTACACAAATAGAGCCCCCAGCCTTTGGAGGATTGTACAAATTACAGAAACTGTACTTAAGTTATAACTTGCTCTCACATTTCCCACTGGACTTGTACACTGGAAAACATAAGCTGACAGACCTTGTGTTGCTGGACATTTCCTTTAATCACATCCAGTTGATGCCTGTTCAGCGCCTGAGTTCAGTGCCGGCCAAACATCTTAGTGGAATTTATCTTCATGGCAACCCATTTTATTGTGACTGTATGCTGTACTCCATGCTAATCTTCTGGTATCAGAGGCACTTCAGTTCGGTGGTGGACTTCAAAAATGAGTACACCTGTTTGTTGCAGTCAGACCCAAAAGGTTACAATAAACTGCCTTTACTGCACGATAACTTCCTGAATTGCTCTGAAAGCACCGTCAACAGCTCTTTCCAAGCCTTTGGGTTTATTCATGATGCCCAGGTTGGTGACAGGCTGATTGTACACTGTGACAGCAGAATCAGTGATGCGGGCACACACTTTGTTTGGGTTAGTCCCGACAATAGATTGCTGGAGCCAGACAGGGAGACCAACAACTTTAAGGTATTCCGTAACGGCAGCCTGGAGATAACTGATGCCCAGCTAGAGGACTCAGGGCTGTATTCCTGCATCGCAATAAATAAGAAAAGACTATTAAATGAGACCATAGAGGTTAGAATAAATGTTAGCAATTTCACAGTGAATAAGTCCCATGCTCATGAAGCATTTAATACAGCTTTTACCACCCTTGCTGCCTGTGTAGCCAGTATTGTTTTAGTACTGCTGTATCTCTATCTGACCCCATGTCCATGTCAATGTAAAGCAAAAGGGAGGAAGAGGAAGCTGAACCAAAGCAGTGCCCACTCATCCATACTGAATTCCACACTGCCACAAGAGCTGCCAGCTGATGAGAAGAAGGCTAGTACTGGTAAACGGGTGGTTTTCCTGGAACCCGTGCATGAACCAAAACACAGTCAGAACGGGAAAGTAAAACTGTTTCCTAATGACAATATTATTGCTGAGAGTATCTTAAAAACAACTCGAACAAAATCTGACTCAGATTCTGTCAACTCTATGTTCTCAGATACACCTTTCATGCCGTCAGCTTAGTTTGCTGCCTGTGTTTGTATTGTGCAGTTACATTTCTGAATACCTCCTTTGTTTGTAGCAACCATCAGGAAAAAAATAAAAAGAAAGAAAATGTTTTAAAGTAAGTATCTATTGTCAGTCCTTGAATTGTGTCTTCTCTCTGAGTGCAGGGACATGCAACATTGATATTTTCTTTGGGAAAAGCAAACAGTATAGCATTAATGTAAATGTCTTCCATTCAAGCTTAGCCTTGGCTTTTACTCTCTGGTCCATACACAGCAATTTCTCTTGCACGTTTAGAGGCACCCACAGTGCTTACAGCTGGCTCTTCAGAGGCAGAGGCTGACCCCTATAAAACACTCTCAGCCATGCTGAGAACTCAGCTCCTCTGCAGTAAGCAGCGAAGCGAGCTCACATGGCAACTGATAAAAATGTCCAGGCTTCCTGCAGTTCTTTCCCCAGGCTCATAAAGATTTAACAGTAAAGATTTTGCTGTAAAATTACTAGGCAAAAAAAGTCATGAATTTTCTTGGACTGATCTGAACAGATTTGTCACCATGATGCCTAGCAGCACTGCATAAATGTTTATGGCCTTCAACTGATAATGTGTTTGCCAATTGTCAGTTGTCTTTACCTCTGCTGCTTGCTGTACACCTGGCATCATGTGTGGTGAACAAGCCTGCCACGATCACCAGGGCTCCTGCTTCATCTTAGGGGTGGGTGGCTTCTCTTCAGAGATATCTTCACAAGATAGGGCAAATACTGCAGTTAATCCTTTCAGTGGCACATGGTTGCAGCAGTTGCATAAAAGTTGCCTCCTAAAGAGTTTTCTTACAACAGGAAATATGGTATTTGGGGAAACTTAAAAAAATATGGAAGACTTTCCACACTGAATTCAGAAAGCACGGTTTTTTCTGTGTATTTGACCCTCGTCTTGCAAGTACTGCTTCCTTCGTTGTTTAGAGGTATCATTGTCAAAGCTTATGAGCCTGGTAAGACTGGCCTGCACTGGTCATGCAATAATATTTTAGTGAGCATAGTGTTCTATTTGCTATTTCTTTTTCAGTTATGTTTTCCTTTTTATTTTTTTAAGCTAACTTACACTGGGACTGGGCTGGACTTTGCCAAACTTCCTCACATTGATTAGTACCAACTTCAAAGGATTTTTGCAAGGAATTACAGCTTACCAAAGAAGAGTAATTGGAGTATGTCTGTCTCATTCTATCTTTGGGGAATATACTGAAGGGGTAACGAATAAACAACATCAGAATCAAAGGGCTACACGGTATGGCAACTGTAATTCATTTTTGAGAGGTTTACTGTAACAGCCGCTTGCCATTTTTTGTGATTTCTTTTGAGAGGGGTGTCATCATGCTAAAGCTTATATCTGGCTGAGCCAAAGCTATCAGCAATTGATTTGCTCTGGAGAAATCCTGATGTAGCTAATTGTTTGAAAGCAAGATATCTGGAAAACAGATCAGGAAAGAGTGTTTTTGTGATATGCGCAAAGTATATGGAATTAGAAAAACGCTGGAGATTTTAATTTAGATATTCAGGGAAAGAGAAGATGGAAATTGTTTTTCTAGGCAGGGGATAATAAATATTTAGAAGAGAAGAATGTCCAGGGGTTTGGGTCTTTTCTTTGTAAATTTAAAACTGGCTTCTGCTATCAAGCAAATTAGTGTCCTTTTGTAAAGCTTTTTACCTGCTTTGCATTAAGCCAAAATCCATATGTTTCTGCATAAGGTATGATGGACAAAAAGTGATTGTCTTTGCTAAAATCAGTGACATAGTTGGGTCATCTGATAATGAGGCAAAGCCTTGACACCACTTCCTTCTCAAAGTGCTTTTTTACACTGAAAAGATTCAGTTAAGCTGCATGATGTGCTGCTGTGCCCCACGTGTGGTGGGTGGACATCCTTTGTGTTGTGCTAGGAGACACTCAGTGACCTGGGACCAAAGGCCTGAAAAGGTGGTGCGGCTGAGTGGGAAATGGTGAAGCAAATACTCCTGTGGAAAGCTATACAGATCAGTTACAGCTCTGGGCAGATGTTACATTCTGTTGTCATACATGAGGTTAATTGACCCAGATTTTGGTATTTACACAAGAGCACTGACGGTCAGTTCCAAATGGGGCTGAAAACAGGCGGTTGCTGGTGCAGCCATGAGGCAGATGTACACATCTCCTTAGCAGCTACGGCTGAGCAGGTGCATCCTGCTGTTGTTGACAATGCAAGGTGGAGACACCACATATCAAACTCACTGTGCCTTTTAATTCTTCATGGCAGTCCTAAATAAAACAGGCAGAGATCCTGCAGCCCTCCTTCTGCAAGGCTGCTTTGTGCAGCAAGAGTGTGGGGATTTGTGGGATCAGAGTAATCCTGCCAGATGACTAGAGAAGCTGAGTCTTGATCTAAACAGCAGATACTTACTGTGACTATTAACTGGCTGCATTTTACTGACTGCTTCAAATGCTCACAGTTGTAACTGTGATTATGGCCAAGGTGGTAAAACAAAGCATTTGAAAGAGCTGTTGGCTTGTTTGCTGCTTCTTTACATTACCATAGCCTCATAAATTCAGTCGGTGCAGCTTTAATAAAGATTTTTAAAATCTTCACTGAATATTTATTATATAGCACTAGCACCATAAACCTACAAACCCAGTCATCTCCTTGGAAGGCTGTGGAAAGCCAACGCAGGGTAGCTGTGCCTCCCTTCCCACCACAATGCAAGTCCCCTGAGGCAATGCTGTCCAGCTTCACAGCAACATGGGTGGTTGCACGGGCAGGAGGGGCTGCCCAGGGGCAACAGCAGCAACTCCGGTGTGGTCCACCCTCTGAGCAAGTCTTGGTTGGCAGGCTTCTCTTACCACCATGTCGTCCCCATTAGTCTATGTCCTGGATTTCCCATTGCTGTTTCCAACCACTAATAAAGCTCTGACTGATACAGAGGGAGCTCAGTTCTGAAAGGCGTTGAGTGCTCTGGCACCAGCCCAGCCTTGCTCTTGAAATGGGTTTGCAGGAAGGCAGAAGTACCTACCCACTGGCAAGAAGTCTCTGGTTCAGGTTAGTCACCGCCTTTGCAAGATGCCAGGAATATGATATTCACCATACAGCTCAGGTAACCCTGGATGAGTTTTGCTCTCCCTCATCTTCTTTCCAGTTCCTGAGACTGTGCTACACAATGTCACACAAGGGCTCTAAGCTGCAGTTGAATTCTATGTCTTTTTGTCAGGCTCCTCTACCCACCACTTTAATGGCAGTGAGCATCCTTTCTCTCATTCAAGGGCCTATTGCATCAGTTCTAGCTGTCTCCCAGATCAAAAATAAGGGTAGTGGCACAGACACCTCTGGGAGGTCATGTCTTTGTCTCTGTGTATTTCCAGTACTGCACATGCCTGCAAAGCGTGAGCTTTTGTAGACTGCACTGGCAGCTGGTTGTGTGAGGCCAGTATGAAACCTCTCAGTTCAGTCCTGAGTGTAGCAACAGTAACTGCTCAACCGCATTGTCCCCATCTTAAACGCTTGTAGTAGCAGGTGAGAGGGAAGCATGCTAGTCATCTCTCTTGACCTTACTAAGGTTAAGTATCTGACTGTGGCCACCTCACTAGCAACAAGCACGTATCATGGCTGACTAACCCTTAAATATGCTGAGCAGCTGCCAACCAAGCTGGAACCTGAAGGTATCAGGAAGAGCTTTCCTGTTACCAGCCCTTAATCTGCAGTTGGTTATGACAGCCAGTGTCCTTTTAGCCTAGATGCTCGTTTGTCAGATAGTGCTCTAAGTCATTAATGTACCTATCTCCTTAGCATTGCTTCCTCAAAAAGTCAGATTTCTGAGGACTGCTAATGACAGTGTCAAAGGGCTAATGGATTATATAGCTCATTCTTCTGAACAAGAAAACCCCTAGGGTCAAGTTTTAATTAAACCATAAACTTTCATGTAGGATAGCACAAGATTATTTCTTCCTATTAGAGTAAATCAACCTCCTTCAAAGTACTTTTATATCTTGATTGTAGTATAGTCATAATAACCTCCGTGTTTCTGAAATGAGTGAGAATAAACCAGCCTTTATGGGCCAAAGCATGCTATTGTTGTCATCTTTAATGCAGAAGTGACAGCCTCCAGCCATCAGCTGCAGACTACATCCACCAGCCACCCCAGCCATACCACCCAGTACACACTTCTGCTCTCTTCATAGAGGCTGAGCCATCACCATTTGGCCGTGGCAGGTGCAGGGATCATTTCCAGTCTCTTCCTTCATAGCTCTGTTTCAAGACTGGCTTCCTGAAGATGGTTTCTGGATGTACTGTAAAGTTGCTGGAAAGGATAATTTTAATTGATTAATTAAAACAGCTGCTTGCAAATGGCTTCTAAATGATGAGAACTGGCATTGGTGGTAAGTAGTAGCTTTTGAGAAGACAGGCTACATGTTTCATTTATAGATTGAGCAATTTAGATTTTACTTTCTTTTTGCTCTTTATGGTAAATGTTACTGGAATCCTTGTATATATACAAAGGGGGCATATTTAAAGATTTTTTTTCTTGTATTTGTTTTATGTTTTTCCATTTGTTCAATAGGTCTCAGATGTAGGTAAGAGTGGAAATTTGAGGTTGGTGGGATAAGGGCAAGAAATCGTTTTGGTAAAAATTTACTTGATATTTTAAAAGAAAGCTAATATCTGAGCTCTTGCCTTTAGTGAGCACATGATACAAATAATTTCAAAAACCCAGTTATTAACTAACTGCAGATTTCATGGTTATTTTGGAAGGTTTGGGTGTTAACAGAGTTCTGACAATAATATAGGCATGAAAGTGATCAGTACAAACGTGGAAGAGTATTAGTATTTGTTTTTGAAGAAGAGATGTCCCAAACTTGCTGAAGAGGTCATGTCATAAGTAAAACGACCATACCTCTCTTCCTTATTTAATAGAAGGCTCTAATTTTAATATTAAGGAACTGAACAGATGCAGTGGAGAAACTCTTCTTCCTGTGAATTACTGGTTTATGTTCTGCTTATGTTAGGTAGATATTTTTCCATATGTAAATCTGTTTTGTTTTCCTTTGCAGAATAACTTAACTGAAATAATATCTTCTCACTTAGTTTTCCTAATGAAGTCTGCG